GCTGACCCCTGCGCTTGTGTCGTGTGTGTGTGTGTGTGTTCCCCCCTCCTTTTCCCGCCCCCCGGCAGGTACAGCACCTGGGAGCCCGAGGAGAACATCCTGGACTCCCGCCTCATCGCCGCCTTCGAGCAGAAGTGAGTGCTCATCCCCTGCCCCGGGCCGGGGGGGCGGGAACGGGCGTCCAGCCTCCCTCCTGGGTCTGTTGGGCTTTCGGTGGGGGGGGTGGGGGGTTTTTGCCTTTTTTTTTTTTTTTTTAACTCTTTGCTTCGGTTTCTGCTTTGAGAAGAGTTTTAACTTCTTGACGAATTTGACTCCCTAAAGGGAACGAGAGCGTGAGCTGTACGGGCCCAAGAAGAGAGGACCTAAGCCCAAAACTTTTCTCCTGAAGGTAACTCTTACTCAAATAACTCTGGCCTAGCCCTGCTGCCTCTCAAGCCTCGCCGGTGCGTGTCCTTGGAAGGGCTGGACTTCCAAGTGACTGGTGCCTGCTGCTGGGCTCTGGAAGCGCGGGGACAGCCCGACAGGAAAGCGGGAGGGGGGCTGGGACGCAGGAGCGTGGGAGGGGAGAGCCTGCGTGCGTGCGGCGGGTGCCCCAGCAGGATGGTCGGTACGCGCGGGTGTGCCTGGTGAGGCTGCAGTTCTCTTCTCCAATATCCTCTCCCTCTTTACGGCCTTCTGCTGCCGCAGTGGAGCGCGAGCCTGCCCTGCTCCCTCTTCCTCCAGCAGCCTCTTCCATCCAGCCCCTGCCCTGCAGTTTAGCAGCGTGCTGAGCAGTGGGGCAGCTGTGGCTGAGGTCCCGCTGCCACTTGTGCTCCTCTGATCGTGTTTCAGGATGTGGGTCCTCCATGGGAATTTCATGAAGGGTTCATGTTTTAGCTGTAAACTGGAGTCTTGTTTAGCTTTTTTCTTTTTTTTTGGAGGGAGGAGGAATGTTTCAGCTGCTATCCTATGCAGAGCTGAAGTTTCCAGTTCCCCTCTGATAAAACCACCATCTCTGCAATAAAGTATTGCCGTAGCATCTCTGCTCGCTTGCAGTGAGGGAGGTAGATGTGGGAAACTGTTCTTCTTCCCCACATTTTTACTTTCTTTTTTTAATTAAGAAATGTAGTACCTCGATGACCACTATGGGAGCTCTGTAGAATTACTAGTCTACAGAGAAAACTCCTTGTTTTGCTCCCCTTTTCCTCCTCCTTCCACTCAAGCTATCTCAATTTCAGACTTCAAATGAACGTAAGAAGCCAACGCACCTTTGTACGATTAAGACAGATTGAGTGAGTTCACAGCATCCCTGGGTTTGATTCAGTATGGAGCCCTGGAACAGCCAGGGTGGACCCTGTGGCAAGGCATCACTATCACTAAGTCATCCTGTGGCTTTGGGCAAGTCATTTAGCCTTTGTGCATGTTTCCCCATCTGTGAAACAGGTTAATACTTTCCTTTGCCTGACAGCGGTAGGAGCTTTACTCAAGTCAGCGCAGCACTTTAACTGTGTGAGCACCAGAAGGAGCAGTGAGGGATCAGGTGTCCCCTCTCCTCTGTTTTAAGAGGACATAGCAAAGCTCATGGAAGAAATGTGGAAACAGGGGTATTCTGATGCTCCAGGTAAAACCCAGGGGACTGTGGTAATCCTCAGAAAGTCCTGCTGATGGAACTGTCGTCCTCCTCCTTGCCTCTTCTTCTGCTAACAGTTTTCTGTGTCTGCAGACAGAATTACAATCATAACTGATATGTACAACCTCTTACTCTTTGTTCAGGGAAACTAGATTAGTTGGTTTTTTCTCTTTCTGGCAGTCAAGCATTAAATGAAACCCTTGTGTTTAGGTTTCCAACAATGCAGAGGAACACTTAAAGGGAAACCACCGGCCTAAAATAGTTCTCTGCTTGAGTTAAAAAATACTGTTTTTTCTAGCACCTGACATTGTTTAGAGTGTTAGAGAAATGTTTATACTGTGCTTTTAACATTCCTGGATGTAATCAGTTTCTTTTATTTTTGATTGTGAAGATGATATGGCAAAATACACTGCCAATTTTTCACTCATTTAAAAAAGCAAAACCAACCCCCATACTCAAAAGTAAAACCTTCTCATTCCTTCTCATCTCCTCTTGCCCTTTAAAAGCCCCCTAAACTTGGAACCTGAATTATTCAGCAACATCCTTTGAATCACGTCCCTGACACGTTTCTGTGGCACATCATCCTTTTGCCAGCTTCTGAAGTGCTACCAAAAACCCAGAAGTTTTGCAGAGATTGCTTGGGACCTTGTAGAAGATGGATCACAATAGGGAGTGAGAGGAGCTCTCCTGAAGGCTGGTGCCATGCTGTGGGAGAGGCTGGCAGGGCAGAGTGCTGCCACTGCCCCTTGGTTTGCAGCTCTGGGAAATGGAGCTGGTGAAACTGTTAGTGCTCTGACTTGATGTTTTTGTGTGACTTCGGATCCTACCCTAAAAATAACGCTCCAGGCCAGGCAGCAAGAAGTAACCCTATCTCAGCTAGCCCTATCTAAACTTGTTTGAGCTCTGTTCAGGCAAACTGCTAGCAAAGCAACTGCAGCTCGAGACGCCACTGAGGCCAGCGTGGTAGTTGGCGTCATGTGCGTCAACACGGTCAGTTCCTCCGACCCGCTGAAGATGCGGGTTTGGGCTCTGCTAGCCCTGCAGCACTGGTGCTGCTGCAGGGGGAGTGGGATTCAGTTCTGCCTTACGCATCACTAATGATGTTTTCAGTTCTTTCAGCTGCAGAGTCTCTTGCCAGTGAGAATTTCGGAAGCAGGGCAAGAAATTTGATGCTTGCATCCCAGAGGGAGTCTTTGGAGTTAGCAGTTAGAACAATGTTCTTTTTGATCTGCTAGCTGAACAGATTAGGCCTGGATGCAATGATTAAGCAGGAGTCTGGCCTAGGACTGCTTCGGTAGACTAGTTTACCCTTGACTTAGTGGCTTCCTAGGATTTTTCAAGTGTATCAGTGCTTAAACTTAGGCTTCCGAGTCTCCAGTAAGGTACTGAAACAAGTGTCCTGCTACACCACTCGGTCCTCTGGCTTATGTGGCTGTTTTGGGTTGCAGTTGGGGCTAGGTTTATTCTGGGATTAATTCTCAAAAGCTGCAGATAGGCACTCGGGGGGATTTGCAGAAGGCATTCCAGCAGGTTAGTGGCCCACGTCTTTGGAAAAGCTTTGAAAACTGCATTTTCAGCCACCTGCTGCCTTTGTAAGCCAGGCAGAGCGGAGAGCTGTCTAACACTTGCCCTTTCGATCAGACTGCAAAGAGAAATTAGAGTCCAGGCTTTGTAATATTGCTACCAGGATGGCTGGTGTTGAAAGTGACCCCTGCAAACTTCAACTGCAAAGTTTTGGGCAGGAAATGGGTCTTTATCCTCTGCATACTAGGGGCAAACTTTCCCACAGCTGAGCTCAAGCTTGGCGGGAGGTTGTATTTCTTGGGAAGCTGCTGGTATGCTGCAAGCTTTGTGCAGAGCGTATGGGAAGTGGAGTCCTCCTTGCTCTGAAATGGGCAGCACTGTATGTCAGGCTCTTACCTTACTACTTAGGTGTCCTGCT